AACAAACATAAAATGAAAAAAAAAGTCACAAGCTCATAGAAAAAAAAAAATTAGCAGAAAAATAACCTCTAAAGGGGGAGGGGAAAGGATTTGTTTAAGGTCAGCTAAGCATTATTAAAGGGTTAATGGTCCTGGGACCTCCATGTAGGACGTAACCCACTGCATCACATAAGCCAGAGGAAAGGTAGATAGGATATATTTTTGTCTTCCCTTACAGGTATCTTCTATACCTTTATTTCAAGTGTTTTAGCAAGGGGGAGGAGAGGCCAAGGTAAACAGCAGACCTTTTATGTAGTGCAAGGTCCTCTTTAAACTGACATCATATACAAATCAAAGGTCACTACTTTGATCTTCTCATGAATGAAACAGAGTAAATACAAAGGGGTTGATTTACTAAAACAGGAGACTGCTAAATCTGGTGCAGCTCTGCATTGCAGCCAATCAGCTTCTAACTTCAGCTTGTTCAATTCTGGTTTGACAATAATACCTGGAAACTGACTGGTTTCAATACAGAGCTGTACAAGATTTCGCACTCCCCAGCTTTAGTAAATCAACCCCAATGTAACAATAATGTTACTTTGTTCTGAATAATGCCGTTGAACGATATTCACAAATACCATTTAAAGCAGAACTTTACTTATAAGACCTTGATAAAAAAATAATGTTCTTTAGCAAGGAACATACATTCCACAAAAATAATTATGCTACTAAAATTAGTGTGTGCTCCAAATTGTCATTTTTGCTGGAGGCTGCCATGTTGCTGAAGCCCAGAGCCATTGTGCAGCAGTATATCTTTAGGCTGTCAACAGATTGGTTTCTACATTTACTGCACAATGCTGAAAAATATAGAACAACTGAGCATGTGCAGAGCAGGATGATGCAGAGTATTACTGGATTTTTACTACTTCCTGCCAGGTCAATGTAAATATATGGCCGGGTGAGTGTTCTCCTGTTCCAGGAGGACATTTTGGTGAAATCCTGTGACCACTGTGTTCGGAGGACACCGCGGATCACAGTGCTCAGTACCAGGATGCTGTTATTGGCCCAGGTACTCTGTGATTGTTGTGACCAATCACAGCAATCACATGATAACAAGTCAAATAGGGGAGAGTATTACGAGCGCTTGGAAAAAAATTGATCATAAGCAGCTAGCATAGAGGTATAAACCCAGACCTTCACAGTATAATAATATAGAAAATGCAGCGCTAAGATGAACATAAACGCAGATAATCAAAAAAGTTGCATAAACTGATAATTAAATTGAAATAATAAAAATATAATAAAAACAGTGGTGTTAGATAAAGTGCTTATAGTGATTGATAATGCCGTCTCCTACGACGCAACAATAGTCCCAATGACAGGTGCAAATATTGTGGATTCCGTGCTCTTAGGTGGATATATAATATGCACTAATTAGAAAGCGCATAAGACTGCGCATTTGAGTTATCAGACCACTCCTGGTGCTCCGGAACTGAAGGTGTAGGGATCATCTGACAGACCGTCAGCACGGCAGGTAATCAGCAAACCAATTCTAGCAACTGTGGTCCTTCATCCAGCCAGCAGGGGGTCATCAAGTATGCAGTAATAGGTATTCACATAGCCAATGAAGGACTCATCAATGCAGGGCGACTAAGCCCACACTCGAAATCCACCTTAAAAGAGAGGGCTCAATGGTGCAGCCAGCCCCAAAAAAACTCTGATAGTGGAGCCTAACCGGTGACGTCATGCCGTCCGAGCAGCGTGGAGGCCGGCGGCCATCTTTTGTTCCTGGTTTATGATATGTGAGTGTGTTTTCATTGCTTAATAAAACTCTTCAAACATACTGCACTATCAGAGTTTTTGGGGGGCTGGCTGTACAAATATGGTCTTCATGGAAGAGTCATCAGAAGAAAACCTCTTCTATGTCCTCACCAAGTTCATCGTTTGAACTTTGCAAATGAACACATAGACAAGCCTGATGCATTTTGGAAACAAGTTCTGTGGACCGATGAGGTTAAAATTCAACTTTTTGGCCGGAATAAGCAAAGGTACGTTTGGAGAAGAAGGGGCACAGAATTTAATGAAAAGAACCTCTGTCCAACTGTTAAGCATGGGGTTGGATCAATCATGCTTTGGGGTTGTGTTGCAGCCAGTGGCACAGGGAGTAGAAGGAAAAAAAATGGATTCAATAAAATTTCAGCAAATTTTGGATGGTAACTTGATGCCATCTGTGAAAAAGCTGAAGTTAAAGAGAGGATGGCTTCTACAAATGGATAATGATCCTAAACACACCTCGAAATCCACGGGGGATTACATCAAGAGGTGTAAACTAAAGGTTTTGCCATGGCCTTCACAATCTCCTGACCTCAACATAATTGAAAATCTATGGATAGACCTTAAAAGAGCAGTGCGTGACAGACAGCCCAGAAATCTCAAAGAACTGGAAGACTTTTGTAAGGAAGAATGGGCAAAGATACCTCAAACAAGAATTGAAAGACTCTTGGCTGGCTACAAAAAGCATTTACAAGCTGTGATACTTGCCGGCGGCAGTGCATGCTATAAATTCTGCAGGGTGCCCAAACTTTTGCAGACACCATTTTTTTGTTTTTTGTTATTTTGAAAGTGTAAATGATGGAAATAAAATCTAACTTTTGTTGACATATTATAAGAATGTCTAATCTGTAATTTGATGCCTTTTGGAGATTTTTCCATCTTTCCTTGGCTTCTTTATGCACATTAATACAAATTTTTAGCTGGGGTGCCCAAACTTTCGATCCCCACTGTACATGATAACAAGTAAACACAACTGTCGTGAATGGCTTTCATTCATGACAGCTTGCTTATTATTGTGGTCTCTGTGATCAGTCAAAGTGATCACATGGTACAGGGCCATTCACAGTGGCCCTGTATCATGTGATAGCTGTAGCCAGTCACAGCAATCACAATAGTAAGCAATTTGTCATGAATGAAAGCCATTCATGACAGTTAAAACGATTGGTTTAACAGTGATCATCACTGTACAAGCAATAATAGTTTAACCAGTTCAATACCGGGCACTTTTACCCCCTTCCTGCCCAGGCCAATTTTCAGCTTTCAGCGCTCACACACTTTAAATTACAATTGAGTGACCATGCAACACTGTACCCACACTAATTGTTTATAATTTTGTTCACACAAGTAGAGCTTTCTTTTGGGGTTATTTAAGCATCACTGGGTCACTTTAACCTCCTTGGCGGTATTCCCGAGTGTAGCTCGGGGTAACATTTCAGTACCAAGAGCGGTAACCCCGAGCTACACTCGGGAATACCATGCGGCACTGCTCCGGCATTTGTTCTTCACTTACCTTACCTGCGCTCCCACGATGTGTCCCTTGCAGCGTCCCCGGCCATCTCCTTCAGCCGATGCCGGCATCCGGCTTCTGTGTCCTGTCCCTGTGACGTCGGGACGTACGGGCGCCGCCGCCGGCGGCGGGAAATTTTAAAATTTTAAATAATGTCATTTTTTTTTTTTACATTTTACATAGTAAAACATTGCTGTCTCAACCAATTTCACATACATTTTGTCCCGAGTGCTTTGTCCTGCGCCCCGCCTGCATTTTGTCTGTTCTTTCTGCCTGGAAACTGAGAAACGTCCATGGCGTCCAAAAAGTGTCCCTTTAGGTCAAAAGCGGTTTAGATCAGCTAGAGAACAGTGATAGTAAATCAGAACCACTTGCAGAATTGAGTGATAATGATTTGTGGGGAAATTCGTCATCAGACACTGAAAACGATTTTGCGACTTTGCTCAGCAATGTGCGAACTTATTATGGCGCTATATTTCAAATTTCAGTGTTTTTGGTTTGATTATATTATTGAATTAAATGTATTATTATTATATTATTATTTTTTTATGATTATTTATTAAATTATAATTTATGATTTTGTGTTTCAAATTTTATCATACCCGGGATGTTTAATAGACTCTGGTTCGGACAGATTTCAGTGAGTTATTCCTAAATATTACAGCCTACAATAAAAAAACTACATATTTCCATGCAAAATAATGGTACCGCTTTCAGCACCAAAAATCTGAAATAATCATACCGCCAGGGAGGTTAAAATGAAAATTTTGAAAAAAAAAAATGTTTTTTCTTAGTTTCTGTTATAAAATTTTGCAAATAAATAACCGTTCTTCATAAGTTTAGGCCAAAATGTATACTGCTACATTTCTTGGGTGAAAATAACCCAAATCAGTGTATATTATTTAGTCTGTAGGAAAGTTATAGAGAAAATCGATCAATCTTTCATTTAATTTCTTAACAATGAATAAATAGTGTCTTATGCGCTGCCAAAGAGACTACACTACAGTTGTAGGCACCCACAAGTGTTCCCACACCAATCAGTAACAAAAAAATGTATAAGAAATAGTGCAGCACTATCAATAAAGGTAATACACCCACCTGAGGGTGTAACACCCCCCAATCAATGCTAATAGATACAAATCAAAAGAGTATATAAATAAATATAAGTGTATCTAACAATCAATATAAAACAGTAAATACCCGACAGACACTCTAACACATCTAAATCAAACAAGCAAATTTGTGCATAAGTAGTGTAAACAATAATTAATTAAGAGATGACTAAAAAGTGTAAACATCCAAAATGCATACATGCTTGAACAAATAAAAAAAATCCACAAAAATTTATAATAATCAGCAATCCAATGTGGAAACGAATGAAAAAATAACCCACTATTCATAAAACCCCAAAAAGAGAAAGAAAAGAGGTGAAATAATAAAAGGTAATATACAGTGTTCAGCATAAATGAGAACACCCCTTTTGAAAAGTAAGATTTTAATCAATATCTCAAAAAACACAAGAACAATTTTCCTTAATTTTGAAAAAACTGGAGTTTTATAGAACATTTGTTTAGCTCGGTACATGAAAATAAGGTTAATAATATAACATAGTGTCATGAGATGGGTTCTCTGCCAGTCCCAGTTATTAAGTCCTTTATTAATCCCTTGTGTCCAGAGAAAGTACATCCTCAAATTAGTGTTCTACTCCTGTGGGCCAAATGCTCCTAGCTGTAATTAATAAGCCCCCTCCACCCTCCTCCGGCCAAAAGGTCCCCAGATTCATATAATGTATTCTCCCCCGTCCTCCTGTTTACAGCTACAAATTCAATTATTGTGTTTACTTTCCTGTCCATCCTGGCTTGTGCCCAAATGTAGTACATCCCTAATTAATGCCTTACTTTTTGTACCAGAGGAAGTGCTTCCCATCTCCAATGCAATTAGTGCCTTTCTTGCCAAATGTTCCCTAATCCAATCAAGGCATCCCCTCCATTATCATCCAAAATGTCCCTAAACTCAATCAAGGCATTCCCTCCATTATCATCCTGCTAATGACCCCCCTCCATCTCTCATCCTGCCCCGGGGTTTAAGAGGTTGGTGCTGGGCTCTTCCCGTGCATCCATTCTGCTGTGCAGCCACTGAGGGATCCCAGCTGTGGCCAGACCCTGCCTGAGCCCCATTTGAGTAAGGGGGACCCCAGAAGCCACATCAGCTCTGCCTGAGACTTTCACATCAGCTCTGCCTGAGACTACAACATCAGCTCTGCGTGAGTGTATGCTTCTCCTGTGTTATCTGAACTGTTTATGAACTGCCTCCTACCTCCCTGTTGGATTACAAACTGCTGTAGAGACTTTAACTTTGCCCGCCCGGGACTGGATTACAAAGTATTTTGGGCTCTCTCTCTGCACTACTTCCCACTGATTGACTGTTGTCTGTTTTAATAAAAGCTTTAAGTGTTTGCCATCTGCCTTGTGCGTTCTGTCTTGCCTACCCTCCATCACACATAGATTGCAAAATCTTTAGTCGTACTCAAATTAGTTGATGCAGAAGATGCTCCTGTTGAGGTGTTAACTTCCGTGAGCAGCCTGGACGTCTCTGTGAAATGGTTGCAGTTCCATCCTTGTTAAAGTCTTGTATCGCTTTTGTTACAGTATTCTGACTGATAAGTAAAGCTTTGCTGATCTTCTTGTAGCCTTCACCTTTCTTGTGTAAAGAAATTATTTTCTTTTTTTGGCCTTGTGACATTTCTCTTCCATGTGGTGCCATTGCTGACAGCATGAAATGGGAAGGGATTTTCTTTGTTACATAATGTCCTTTATCAATCAACTGTCTTCCAATTTTTTTATGCCGCATGATAGTACCGCAACATTTCAAAAAAAATACAAGTAAATTAATTTTAGGGCACAAAAAAAGCAATAAATTACCCTATTTTTTGTAAAATATAAAAGATGAGGTCACAGATCGAAAAGGCTGCAAGGGCTGGGACAGTGATAATAATGGAGGATTTTAACTACCTGGAAATTGACTGGAGTAATGGCACTGCAGGAACACTTAAAGGGCAAAGATGTATAAACCTACTACAGGACAATTTTATGGTACATTTCATAGAGGCCCCAACTATGAATGATGCTCTGCTTGACCTGTTAATCTCAAACCATGCAGAGCTTATCACTGATGTCCATATAAAAGAACATCTGGGTAGCAGTGACCATAGCATGATTTCATTTATTGTTAGCTGTAAACAAGCACATACGGGAAAAAAGAAAATGCTTAACTTTAAGAGAGCAAATTTCCCAAGGCTGAAAGCTGCTTTCCAATACATAGACTGGGTGGAAATATTGGCATCAATGAACACAACACAGAAATGGGAGTTCTACAAAAAGAATGTATGTGAGCACACTGCAAAATATATTCCCATGGGCAACAGGTTTAAAAGGCTAAAAATCAAACCTATGTGGCTTACGGCCAAAGTTGAAAAAGCTATAAATAATAAGAAAAGCGCTTTTTAAAATAGAAAAATTAGGGAACACTATCATAGTTTTAACATTACAAAGAATATAACAGAATATGTAAAAAGGAAATCAAGGCCGCAAAAATTGAAAATGAACGACAGATTGCAAAAGATAGCAGGACCAACCCCCAAAAATTCTTCAAATATTTTAATAGTAAAAAGCTCAGGTCCGAGCATGTAGGCCCTTTACAAAAAAATCTAGAGTGGGTGACTGGGGACAAAGAGAAGGCAAATTTATTAAATATCTTATTCAGCTCTGTGTATACAAAGGAGCATGGGGGAGCTCTTGTCCATAATGGGCATGGTAGTGACACAGCCCCAGATGATCCACATTGGCTCACAACTGATATGATCCAGAAATATTTAGACAAAATAAAGGTGAATAAAGCACCTGGACCGGATGGCATACACCCACAGGTCCTTAAAGAATTGAGCTCTGTCATTTCAAAGCCATTGTTTCTCATTTTTAGGGACTCTTTAATGATAGGGCATAGTACCACTGGATTGGCGTAAGGCCAATGTGGTGTCAATATTTAAAAAGGATCAAAATCTTTACCAAGTAGTTATAGACCTGTTAGTTTAACTTCTATAGTTGGGAAGATACTGGAGTGTTTAATAAAAGACCACATGGATGAGTTCTTGCTGGAAAAAAATATTTTTTAAGCAACAGTTGTCAAACAAATCTGATTTCTTTTTATGAGGAGGTGAGCAAAACCTTGGACAGAGGGGTGGCTGTGGACGCGGTATACTTGGATTTTGCAAAAGCGTTTGACACAGTTCCCCACACACGGCTAGTATGAAAGGTAAAATCTACAGGCTTGGAAAAATACGTATGTAAATGGATAGAAAACTGGCTAAAAGACAGTATTCAGAGAGTAGTGGTTAATGATTCATACTCTGAATGGTCTAGGGTTGTCCATGGTGTACCCCAAGGTTCAGTGTTGGGACCCTTTTTAATATATTTATAAAGGATATAGGGTTTGAGATTAAAAATCCCATTTCAGTCTTTGCAGATGACACCAAGCTGTGCCGTGGAATAACGTCCTTACAGGATGTCTCCAATTTACAAGCCGACCTCAATGAACTGTTTAATTAGCAACTATGTGGCAAATGAAGTTTAATGTTGATAAATGTAAGGTTATGCACTTGGGGGCTAAGAATATGCATGCATCATACATACTAGGGGGGGTACAACTGGGGAAGTCAATGGGGAAGAAGGATCTGGGAGCTCTGGTAGATCACAAGCTTAGTAATGGAATGCAATGTCAAGCTGCGGTTTATAAAGCAAGCAAAATCCTCTCTTGTATTATTAGAGGTATAGACTCCAGAGAGAGAGATATCATATTACCCCTGTACAAATCATTAGTAAGACCTCATCTGGAATATGCAGTTCAGTTTTGGGCACCAATTCACAAAAAGAACATTGGGGAACTGGAGAAAGTACAGAGAAGAGCAACCAAACTGATAAGAGGCATGGAGGAGCTCCACTATTAGGAAAGATTAGAGGAGTGGAATTTATTCCCTCTTGAGAAGAGGAGATTAAGGGGAGATATGATCAACATGTATAAATACATCAGTGGTTCATATAGTGAACTCAGTGTAGAATTATTCACCCTGAGGTCATCACAGAGGACAAGGGGCACTCTTTACGTCTGGAGGAACAGAAATTTAATCTCCAAACACGGAAAGGTTTCTTCACAGTGAGAGCTGTAAAAATGTGGAATAGACTCCCTTAAGAGTTGGTTCTGGCCAGCTCAGTGGATTGTCTTTAGAAAAGGCCTGGATTATTTCCTAGATATACATAATATAACTAGATACTAACATTTATAGGTAAAGTTGATGCAGAGAATATCCAGTTGCCTCTTGGGGGATCAGGAAGGAGGTTTTCCCCCTGCAGGAGCAAACTGAATCATGCTTTGCTGGGTTTTTTTCCTTCCTCTGGATCAACTGTGGGTATAGGATTATAACTTTTTTTGTTGTTGGTTGAACTGGATGGACATTGGTCTTTTTTCAGCCAGACTAACTATGTAACAGTTGGGCTGTGATTGTCCCAGTCTGTATTATGTGATCGCTGTGACCAATCACAGCTAGCAACACAATTGTATACAATGGATGGCATGAAAGAAAGCCATCCATTGTTTACAATTGTCATGTGACCTGCAACGGGCTGATGCACAGATCATATATATATATATATATATATTACACACACGCACACATACTATATTGCCAAAAGTATTGGGACACCTGCTTTAACACGCACATGAACTTTAATGGTATCTCAGTCTTAGTCCGTAGGGTTCAATATTGAGTTGGCCCACTTTTTGCAGCTATAACAGCTTCAACTCTTCTGGGAAGGCTGTCCACAAGGTTTAGGAGTGTCTATGGGAATGTTTGACTATTCTTCCAAAAGCGCATTTGTGCGGTCAGGCACTGATGTTGAACGAGAAGGCCTGGCTTGCAGTCTCCGCTCTAATTCATCCCAAAGGTGTTCTATCGCGAGGTCAGGACTCTGTGCAGGCCAGTCAAGTTCCTCCACCACAAACTCACTCATCCATGTCTTTACGGACTTTGCTTTGTGCACTGGTGCACAGTCATGTTGGAACAGGAGGGGCCATCCCGAAATTGTTCCCATAAATTTGGGAGCATGAAATTGTCCAAAATGTCTTGGTATGCTGATGTCTTAAGAGTTCTCTTCACTGTAACTAAGGAACCAAGCCCAACCCCTCAAAAACAACCCCACACCATAATCCCCCCTCCACCAAACTTTACACTTGGCACAATGCAGTTAGGCAAATACCGTTCTCCTGACAACCGCCAAACCCAGACACGTCCATTGGATTGCCAAACAGAAAGGCGTGATTAGTCATTCCAGAGAACACATTTTATAGTCCAATGCCACTGTTGTGCTAATCTGAAGGCCACATGAAGTTTGGAGATCTTTAGCTATTGACTCTGCAGACAGTTGGCGACTTCTGCACAGTGTGCACTTTAGCATGGGTCATTTTACGCAGCCTACCACTTTGTGGCTGAGTTGCTGTTGTTCCCAGTTGCTTCCACTTTGTTATAATACCACTAACAGTTGACCATAGAATATTTAGTAGCAAGGAAATTTCGCATTATGCGGCATGGCGGGCAAAGAGCCTTACTGTTTGCATGTTCGCTAAACACATGAACGCCTGAACATCAAGCCCAACATATTCAGTAACAGGATTGGCACAGGCAGCACAGTGCACCCACTCCCAGCCTCAAATTCCAGACTGGGTGACAGGCGGAGCCGCCGGCAATGATTACAAAAAAGTGATACAGACAGCTTGGAGATATAAACCCACTCCCAGCTATGGACTCCCGACTGGGCAGAGGGAATAGATGGAGGCAGGCAGCAGATGCCAATGGCCTGATGCCTGCTCCGTCAACCCCATTGCTAATAGAAATTCAAATTAATCCGTGTGCAATGCAGTAACAGTTACCATGTCACCTGACCTCAGGACTGCGAGCAGCATGCACCTAGGTTGGAGCCCCTTTTTAAAGAGCCCCCATCCCACTGTGCTCACATGCAAAGGC